ATGATAAATTCATGCTTGGGGTTATTTCCAGGAAACATTTTGTCTCTGCAGATGAAGATGTGTATTTTCTGCTGTCAGAAAATGAAAACTCTGCCACCCGACATGTTTCCATTTTTACTTTAGCTGACAAATAGGGATACACAGTTTTATTACTTTATTACCTTTATACAGTCTGACCAATTCAGGTTCCTGAAAGTTGCAACTCTTTCTGCCTTCTTTAGATGAGTCAGTTCTTGCTTTATTCTTCAATGCCATATTTCATACTTTTTAATCTGAAAGCTGCCTCAAATCAACTCAGCAGTAGGCTAGTAGAGGTTTTTAAATAAATGTATATTGGTGACCAATGACCCAGCATGGAAATTAAAGAAGGAGTGGCTGGGTACTACACTTCTTGTTGAGAAGGATCCTATAAAGTGGCTCTCCAGAAGTCACTGGGGTGCCCATCATCACTGGGGTTTGGCAGAAAAGAACACAGCAGGAAGCAACCGAAGTGAATTCCAACTTTGTTGCTGTCTTTTGGGCTACTCCTTCTAAGCCATCTTCTTTTTATCTGTAAACTATAGAGTTCCCTTTCCTCAATGTAAAATGGAGATCCATGCAAGCTCCTGTTTTACATTGCAAGGTTATTAATAATGATATATAATACTTGCAATCAGTTTTCTTTATGGAAAGCACACTGCTAGGCGGGCACTGTGCTGAGAACTTTACATGCATTTTTCTATTTAAACCTCCCCTCTACCACAATCCTGTGTATTGTTTTACCATTTTGCTGATTAAGTAATGCCAGAGAAATCAAGCATGTACAAAGGTACCTATTAGCAAACACAGAGCAGGAATTCAAATTCAAGTGTGTCAGTTGCCACTGACAAGCTCTTAACTACCTCCTCACAAGTAAGCAAAGAAAGGGGCAAGAACGAGAGATAGCTGGCACCCTTGCTGGAAATGACCGAGATTGCTGTTGATGTTGCCAGGAGAGAAAAAGCACCAAGTCACAGCTTTCCTTGCAGAGCAGAGCACGTTCCTTTTCAACATCTTGAAAACAGCTGGCTGCTCTGCAGCCCTGTTCTGTGCTCAAGACAACACCTGGGGGGAGCCAGTCCCATGAAACATGGCTGCAACTCCCTCTTCCTCCACCTCTGGTGGTTTGCTTCTCAAGAAATTTGCCTGGGATCTCCCTGTACATGCGTCCTGCCTCTGGGCAGTTTTGCCCACTAGGCATTACTGGCATAGCAATGGGAGTCTCTATGGTTTTTAGGGGCCTACAGAAAAGTTTGAGCCCTGAAACTGGTATTATTCGTCCCACGATACAAAGAAGAAAACCACAACATTGAAATTAGTAAATATTTAATTAAATGCAAAGTGTAGCACTATGTCAACTTCATTAACTGTTGAATTTAGTAGTCAAAAAAGTTTCATCATATTTGATAATGATTTGTAGGTTGGAGTTTTGCTCACTGTGCAAGATTCCCCAAGGAGGCACTAAGATTGGTGAGAAATCATAGCCCATCATAAATAAATTACTCATAGCCAAAAACTTTCAAAAGCAAAATGACAAAAATCCGCATGGTTTTCTTATGCTAAAAGTTATATTGTCAGGGGTGGGTGTGTTTAATAAAATAAGTTAGGTGAAGAATAGGGCCTGTAGAATAAGTAGTGAAGGTTATAAAAGAACCTAGGGCTTGTCCACCTTTCTGGGTTTTTCAATGTGGCCATGTTTGTGCCGGAGATGGAAGACAGGTGGATAAAGGCTTTGACTGGAGAGTAGGTAGGGAACGTTGCTCCCTCTGAAGGAGGAGGCTCCAGATAGGCTCCAAATAGGAAAGCAAGAATTCCAGAATCCTACCTCATGATAGCTAGCCTTCACTGGAGACATTGGATGTGCCAGCCTAACTTCTAAATTCTTTACATGTATTATCTCAGTTGTCACAGAATAACCCTATAAGGTCAGTATTTTATTATCGTTTTTGTACAGGAGCTAACCAAGCACAAAGAGGTTAAACAATCATCCCAGGGTAGTATGGGTAGTAAAGGAAAATTAAAGAATGTTTCCAAGCTAAAAAATAATTTACATACATGAAATAGTGTCTGTGACCATTAAATGCCTTACTTTGAGCTCTAAAAAGACAGGGACTCAGCCTGTCTTGTACTCTATCTTCAGCATCTGTAACAGTGCTGGCCACATACCTATCTGTGCTAGAGGTATATAAAACCAACTGAAAGTCAGTTTACACCACATCTGCCCCAGGAGCTTAATGGAACATTTTGCCTCTTGCACTAGGCTATGACTCTGTATGGAGTTGAGGACCTTTTCATCTCAAATCCTTATGCTTTGGCCACCTGCCTTGCAAGTACAAGGACCCGAGTTCGATCCCTGGTACCAAAAAAAAAAAATCAAATCCTTATGCTTTGCACAACTGTGGCCCACGATAGGTGTTTAAAAACAGAGTCTGGAAAGGCTTATGTGATGATTTGAGTGTATCACAGAACAACTTCCCCAGTACATACAGGTAAAATTCTCCCTCCCTACAATTGCACAGAAGCTGTTGTTTGGAAACTCCAAAGGCATACATTTCAGTGTAATCAACAAGCAAGCCAATGTATAGCACTTTTATGTGCCTCTTCGGTGCCAGGTGTTGTTCTAGCAATTACTAGGTCTTAAGCAATTACTTGGTAATAGGATATCTACCACAATTCTACAAAGCAAGTGTTCTTTATTATCATCTTGTTTCATAGACGAGGAAACCAAGTGTTTGATTGAATTATATCCTCCTAGTACTTGTATGTTAACATACTGATCCTCAGTGCTTCAGAATGTAGCTACATTTGGAGACAAGGCCTTCAAAGAAGAGGTTAAGATAAAATGAAGCTATCAGGGTAGGCCCTAACCCCATATAACTGGTGTCTTTTGAAGAGAAGATCAGGGTAGGGAATCCATGTGAAGAGACAGGACAAAGACAGTGCCATCTATATACCATGCCCCAGACGGGAACCAACCCTGATGGCACTTTGACCTTAAATTTCTAGCCTCTGGAACTGTGAGAACATAAATTTCTATATGTTCACTCGGGTATTCTGTGGTTCTTTGTTGTGGCAATTATGGCAAACTAATACACCAAGCCACAGGGTAACTTGCCTCAGTCTACATTGCCAGAAAACTCAGAATTTGATGAACTCTGTGTCTGAGCCTTGGTAGTCTGATTCTAGAGTCCAGTGTGAGAGCCAGTAGGCCCATATGGTTATGAAGCACCTGAAACGTGGCTAGTGCAAGAGAGGAGCCGACCTTTTTAATTAACTTATATTAACAATTAAAATAACCCCATATGGCTACAGTGGCAACCATATCAGATGTAGCTTTACGTAGTTTCTAAGTACAATGCATGGGGTTTTTGCAGGATCTTCTGGAAGCCTCATTTCTCTGTGTGCTCTAAAATACATGCCTCTATTTTTGTTCCCTATCCCTATTTTATTTTTGCATCCTTTCCAACTTATCCCCCATTGCCTGATTTCCAGCTAAGGCAGGGGTGGGGTGGGTGAGCTGGCTGATTTCCAGAATCCTGTGGCCTGGGTAGTCAGGGTCTTTGGTGCTCTGCTCTAAGCATGGGTGTTAGCCAACCAAATGCCAAGCAGCACAAACACCGAGTGACATTTTCAGAACTATTAATATTTCATCAGAAATGATCACTTTTCCTTTAAATACACTATCTTAAAAGGTTTTCTACATTCTTAACTATAATTTTATTCAGTCTCGGTCCTCAGAATTTTCCCCAAAGGAGCACATCTTCAATTTTATAACGAAAATCAAAGGGGAATGAAGCTCGGATTTCAAAACTCAGAGTCAACATTTCCAGGAACTCAGCCCCTCTGTAAAGAGCAAGGTTGTGTATTGGGCACCTACTGTGTCTGAACTTCACATAGTGTATACCGTTAGTTCACAACATATATTTATTGAGTGCCTACTATGTGCCAAAAAAGTAAACTTGGAATAAACTTACGCCATTTTTTTTAGAAAATACACTTCCATTTTATTTCAAGCATTGACTCTTCAAAGATCCATCCCTTGACTAACACTAATGTTGCCTCCCTCCCTCCCTCCCTATCACCTTGCTAATTTAGTCATTTTCACAAGAGCCTTGATTTCACGTAACCACTGCTCTGGCACTTGATTTGTTGGTTGGTGAACTGTCTTCCTCCATTGGAATATGGGCTCCACGAGAGCAGAAGCTGCCAATGCAGCTCACCCTTTTTGATTCTCCTGTGCCCAGCAACTCACCTGCTTACAGAAGAAGGGCTCCTTGGGTATTGGGGAACAAAGGAGGAAGGTTGTCAGAGTCACACAGCTGGGACTGGCAGTGTCAGGATCAAGGCAGCCCCAGCTCCGCTCTTCTTTTTTTCTTTCTTTCTTTGCCTCTTCTGGTCTTTCCCAGGGGAACCCCTGGAGGAACATCCACCACCACACAGAGGGATCCTGTCAGCTCTCAGCTGAAGAAAGCTGCTCCGATGAGAGAAGAGTCTTGTTCAGCAAAAAGATAATTGAGGCCTCTTTTTCACACACGCACCTTCCTGTCCCCCAACCCCCGGGCCTACTAGAGCCCAGTGTTTGAGTCTGGTGGCTAAGGGCACGGCTTCCGGCCTAACATCTTGGAGTTTGAATCCCAGCTTCCCTCTTCTTGGTGGGCCTTGGACAATCTTTTATGACTCTGGGACTCGGTTTCCTCCCATCGTGTGAGAGGATTGTGAAAAGTGATACTTATTTCATGAGCTTGATTAGGATTGAATATGAGCCCAGGGCTTGGCACAAGGTCAGCACCCCACAGTGACCATCAGGGTTCAGATGAGACTGAAAAAGAGGTAACCCCCACCCTAAAGGCTTGGAGGTTTGCTCACAACCAGATCGCCTTTGACTTCTAATGGGAAAAGCGCCCTGGGGCTCCTGCGGGACCCGCCCCGCCCCGCCCCGCCCCCACCTGCGGGCCTTGGGCGCGGAACCCCAGCGGCCCGTGCACCGAGCCGTTGCGTTTGAAACTCACAGAAGGAATTCCGGCGCAGGACGGCAAGGGGCTGGGAGTTACTTGGCACGGAAATTGGTTAAAGCCCTCTGGAGAGCCTGGCCCGCCCTGCGGAGGCTGCGCCCTTTTAAGGACCGTGTCCCTCTGCGGCCGGCCGATCGCACGCCGGCGCAGGGCTGCCGCGGTGTCTGCTGGGGGTCCGCGGCCGGGCTGGCTGGGAGATTGTCCACAGCGGCGTTGGGAGCGGGAGACAGAAGCGAGTAGAGGAGAGACCGGCGATCGAAAGCAGGGACTCTGGGGGCGGGCTGGAGCCGTTGGCCCTAGGCGTGCTCGCGGTCCCCCAAAGGCCGGAGACAGAACCTTATGGGGGGCTCCTGCCCCCGCTGAGCCTAGCTCAGTGCCAGGACCTTAGCCAGCCCTCTGAGTCTGAGTGGCTTGGCTGAAAATGGGCTGAGCCTCAGGTCCCGAAAGCGGGTGTGCCAGGGACTGTGGGGAGAACCAGTCCTTTCCTCCAGCTGTTTGCAGATGTCATTTTGCCTGCCCAGGCACCTGAGTCCTGAGCTCCTCCTAAGCTACTGGGTTTTGTTGACTTTTAAATATTTCCTTCTAAGGGGAGGGGGGGCAAGAGTCAAGAAAGAGCAAATAAAAACAAATCAAAACAAGCCTCCCCTCCCCAAAAGAGAGCTGTCCCTCCACCCACCACCCCTACCCAAAGCAAAGTCCTGCAGCCACCTGGCAGGAGCAATAGCCAGACAGAACTGACCTCCCCAAGGCAGGTCCTCAGCTCCCTTTCTGGTGAATGCAGAGCAGCGGTGCGAGGTCCCTCTGTCTCCAAGTCCTGGGTTGAGAAAGGCGCTCCCAGAAAGAGAGAAGGATGGCCAGCGGGAATGGGCTCCCTTCATCCTCTGCCCTGGTGGTCAAGCGTCCCTCTGCCCTGGGCCCATTCCCCAGATTTGTTTGGATCCACCAGGACACCCCCCGAGATAGCTTGGATAAAACTTGCCATGAAATCTGGAAGAAAGTTCAAGACTTGCCTGAGGCCCTGCAGCCCGAGACCTCCATGGAGCAGCTCTCTGCCCTCACAGCTGGGACACCAAGAGACTACTGTCTTGGCTTCCAAGAAGAGTGAGTATCCCAGTATTTGGTTGGCAGCAAGGGAAGAGGGAGATGAAGTCCGACCTTCTGGGGGGAAATGATCTGACTCACTATTCAGTCTGGTTAAATCCTAAACATTGTATTCTTTTCTCCATCTCCATAGTTCTGTGTGCAATCTTTGTAGAAGGCAAAGGTCCTGAAGTTTCCTAGGGGAAGGTCCAGACCAAGGTTGTATTCTAGGCTGCCTCTTTACCAGCATGAAGGTGACATTTCTCATTCTAAATGCATAGGCAACTCAGATGTGGATGAAGGCCTTGAAAAAGCACCCTAGCCAAGGCTGAGGGGAGATAGCTCATGACTGTTCCCAGAGGCAGCTGGGAGATCCTTCCTCTCTCCCTCGCAAAGGCTGGGCATTCACATAGGCGAGTCTGGTGGTTTTAAACCACATCTGGAATTCCCTAATACAGGGAGCAGCTGTCCCATTCAGCCTCCACAGAAGCTACTGCAAGAGCACACATCAAAATATTTACCGAGAAGCCATTGACATATTCAGAGGACATAATAGAAAATTAAAGTGCAGGAAGATAGCTGTAAATAGCCTGTTCCCTGGATGGGAAATCCTGTGTCTGGGAAACACAGAGCTAAGTGTTTCTCCACCAGGGCAAAGTTGAGCAAATAATCTTGGGGATAGATATTTGCAAGGAACGAACAGAGAGGGAAAAGGGACCTCATTAGGAAAAGAAAGTAAATCAGACCAGCTGACGTTATTAATGCCACTGTCGAGCACTTCTTCAATGCTTTGCATCTTCAAAGTGGGCTACAAAGATTAATTAATCCTCCTAGTCTCTGTGAAGCAGGTATTAGTGTCCCCATTTTACAGATGTATTAAGTGTTAATAATTAAGTGCTAATTAAAGACTAAGTGATAATTAAGTGTTGTCTGCTCCAGCACATGCTCCAGCTCAGTTCAGAGCTGGGAGGACCATCTAGGCATTTATCAGCTGCCTCTAGTTTCAAGAATATCTAAGCAAGAGCTCAGCAGAAAATCAAAGGGGAGCTGATGCCCAGGTCTGCACTACTGGCTGTCCCTATGCAGGCTAATTTGCTTGCTGCAGTTACAAGTGGAAGGCACTTTGGCTGTTCTTGCCTCCCCTGCCCTGTGCTCAGGATGACATAGCTCAACTGGGAATGGCTTGTCCACAGCCAAATCCTGCCATTAGACCTTTTGGAGGCACCAAGCTCTTCACCCCTTCCCACTGCCATCTGTTCTGGGACAGGGCCTTGGGAAGGGGGGGGGGGGTGAGGATCGGCACTGTGCTCCGTTCTCAATAGCCAAAGAGCTGATTGTCCACTTTGTGGACCAAGGGTCAGTAGCAATTTCCAGTCGATGGCACCCTCTCTGCCAGGTCACACTGAATTAATGGAGAACAGACTCTACTTCCAGTCTGCATTTGGCCAAAAATTGAACTGGTGCACCTTTGGCCACTTGTTTAACTCCATTTGGCCTTGATTTCCTCATCTGCAAATTGAGAATGATATGTCCTGCGTTGTCCACCTCAGAGTTGATAATGAGGATCAAATGTGATGGGAGACAAGTAAATGGAAGATGAATTATACAGAAGAGGTTGCCCTTAGTTTGTGATTCATGGAGTTCCAGGTGGAGTAGTGTGGTTGTGATTGTTGGCTTTGATCTGGGTTCTTCACACTCTGCCCCATAGACCCTAGGGCACTTCAGCAAACACCCTGGAGTAAAGAGGGCTGGTTGCTGGGCCCCAATCCCCACTTCAGCCAGAGCTGTTCAGTTTTTGTCAGTTTTACTTGCTGGAGTTCTGAGTCAGGTTGCATTTGAAAGGAGTTCCGGTAACTGAGAAAAGAGCTGGGAAACCACTGACTTGGATGAATAAACGACATCATAATCGCGTAGATATCAACCAAGTGGAACACAATGAGCTCTTCTTGAAATAAAAGGCAGCTGTGCTGGTGGAATCAGGTAACTCTGGTTTCAGATCACATTTCAGCCGCCATGTGCCGGCTAATTTAACTGAGCTTTGTTTGGCCTCCTCATCTGCCAAATGGAGATGATTACTGTATATTACACAGGGCTACTAGGGTGACTAAGACAGGTAGACAGTTCTGGTGATAATTGGAATTCATGAAAATTCCTTGTAATGATATGTTAATCATTTCCTTAAGCCCTACAATTATTACATGAGGTAGATAGTATTTTAAACTTTTCATCTTTTTTTACTTTTTACTATGCAAAATTTTCAAATGTAAAATGAATAGTATATATTAAATGACCATGTGTTTAATGCTGAGTTTCAGTAATTATTAGATTGTGCCATTTGGGTTTCCATTGTACCCTGCCCCACTTTAAAAATGAGCTGGGCATGGTAGGACATGCCTATAATTCTAGCATTCTGGGAGGCTGAGGCAGGAGAATCCCAGCCTGCACAATTTAGCAATTTAGCAAGATCCTGTCTCAAAATAAAATTTTAAAAAATTTTCAAGGGCTAAAGATGTAGCTCAGTGAAAAATACCTGGGTTCAGTCTGGAAAAAAGAGAAAAAAGAGAAAGGAAGACAGAAAGAAGAAAGGAGAAAGAGACAGAGAGAGAGAGAGAGGGAAAGAGAGAGAGAGGGATATTTGTTAGAAATGAAGCAACTGAGGTTTGGAGGGATTAATTTCTTTGCTGAGGCTCTACACTTAGGAAGTAGTAGAGTTTCAGAAATGAAACCCAAGACCATCTTAGATTATGGTGTATTAATGCTGGCTGTCTTCCCCTGGAAAATAAATCATCTTTCCATAGTCAAGATATTTAAGAGTCCATGTTTTGGATGATCACATATTTCAAATCCAGGGACCTGTCAGAGTTATCTCTGGGACATCTTCAGGCCTGTGAGATATATCTCAGCTAGTTTTCCCACTGCTGAATTTGTAGACTTGGTTTTGGTGATCTCTTCTTCTATTGGGGTAGCAAGCTAAGTTAGTTCTAGAATTCATTGGCCAGAAATTTTTTGGACCTTATCCCTATATATCAGTAACGGTGAACCTTTTAGAGACTGAGTGCCCAAACTGCAACCTGAAACCGGCTTATTTATTGCAAAGTCCGGACACTGCAATTAAACCTGAATACTGAGTTTTAGTTCAGAAAAAAAGCAACTTTTTTTTGCTTGGCTGATGGGGCAACTTGGCTGCTGGGGTGACTTGGCTAGCATGCCAACAGAGGGAGCTATGAGTGCCCACTGGGACATTCGTGCCGTAAGTAAACCATCACAGCTATTTGTCATAAAAACCCAAATATCTCATGTTTGAAAAAGATATTGGAAGCTATCCTCAGCTTCTAGGACTCCTTCCTCAATGCCCTTGCCAAGTGGCTATCCACCATATCATTTCTTAGGGAACCATCACTTCTAACACAGCTCCTTCCCATGCTGTGAACTATCTCAAAAGGTCATTTTTGTGTGTGTGTAACCGAAATCTGTGTCTATCAAACTAATACCCATTGATCTGGGTTCTGCCCTTAGGGCTTCAGAGCAAATCTGTCTTCTCTTCTCTCAATACCTCTTGATGTACTAAAAGATGGCAACAATATTCCTCCCAGGAATTCTTATCTCTACAAGCTAAATGCCTCTGATGTCCTAAGTTTCCTTTTCCATGCCAGCTTGGTCAGTTTCCCATCCACACTGCTGGTCCTTGTGGCAATGTGGTTCCTAGAACCAATTACACTGAGGCAGATAGGATCCAATCTGTGCAGACTGGATCCGCTCTGTCTACATTTTGTATTCCTGTTAATGGTGATTAACACCACATTTATTTTCTCTCCATACTGAGTTTGCTGTATGGACACATTTTTAGTTCATTCATTCATTCAATGAATATTTATTAAGCATCTACTGCATCCCTGGCACTGTGCTAAGAGAGAGAGGGGAAAACCTGTGAACAAGATAAGGCATCAGAAAACAAGTAAATAGTATTAACGATAACAATAATGCTAAAATCACATAACTTCAGAGTGTGAAAAGAACTGGTATTTTTCTTGGAAAAGACTGATGATAAGCACATAAAAATAAATAAGATAGTTTTAGATAGTGGTGAGTACAGTGATGAAAATAAAGCAGAGTAAAGTAATGGTAAGAATCCCTTTAGATGGACTGTCATGTCCTTTGATCTGAGTCCTGGATGCCAAGTGGGAGCCTATGATGACATGCAGGAAAGATGTCCAGGCAGATGGAAGAGCAAGGGCACAGACTCCTGAGATTTTTGTGAGATTTGAAAGGGACAGCACAGACAAAGGTGGTGGTGGCAGGACCAGAATGAATGCAGCACAGAAGGAAAAAGTGGAAGAGTCAGTGTGTAATTGGAGAAGGGGCACCTGGAAAGAGACATCAATGCTGAACCCAGGTTTTGCCTTGAGCCCTGGCTGGACAGTTTATGAAGGTGGGAAAGAAATGGGGAGAAATGGGTTTGGGAGAGAAATCAATAGTCCTGCCTAGTGTCAGTTAAATTCCAGAATCTTGTTCAGTTATCTTTAATTAGTCTTCCGTTTGGGCTTAGAGAATTGTAGCAAGCTGCATACTTGACTCATCTTCAAGGATTACTTGTTCATTTATTTCATTTATTCAACTATTTGATAGTCTCAGAGTGGGGGCCATGACTTTTCTGTTGACTCCATTACCCTGACAGTGGAAGAGAGCACTTGTTAATTTCTGCCTTTTTGGATGCTTTCAACAAACACTTACAGTAGCCTTCTGAGCCCCAGGCCTCATGTTGGATGTTGGGGATACAGGGACAGAAACCCTTCCCTCAAAGAACCCCTGTTGTAGTGGACAAGATGGACACAGATTCATCTGGCAACAGTGAGATCCAGCAAACATTTATTGTACCCCTACTATTTGCCAGATGATATCTGGGAGAAAAAAAACCCAGAATGATGACTGTGGAGGTTTCCCTAGTTAAAGGTTTCACTTTAGCTGGAGCTGGTGAAAAAAGAAGGAACAGGCAAGAATCCAGCAGGTACAGGAAGAAGTGC